ACACTGAAACATTACATTTCCACACACGGCTGGCTGCTGTTAAGTGCTGTGTCAGAATAATAACTTCATCTGCACTTTCGCAGCAGCTGTCTGCCGATCGGGCTTCTCCCCACTTCCCTGCGGAGCAGTAATAAAGACAGGTGTTTCGTTTGCTCGCTAGCTTGACTGTTTTTGTTCTTTTTCTTCTTGAAGCATCGTCGCAGAATAACGGTTTCCGAGCTGAGCTTCCGATTTGCTGCGTCCTGGTAGATCCTGGATGAGTCAGGACCGAGCTTGCCAGGCTCTTGTGCAGGACCCCCTGGGGGTGGGGGGTGGGGCATCATCTTTGTCCTAGGACAAACACAGAGGTAATCTGTGGGGGGGGGAGCACAGGGCTGGATCTGGACTGGCTCATGTTGCAGAGAGCAGCCCGCAGTGCTGGCCAGGCTGAGTCATGGCCATTAGCCAGGCTGGGCGGCTTTGTGAAAAATCAATGGGTCACAGTTTCCATTCAGCAGAAACGTTTACGGAATGCGGGGGCTTAAATTTAGAGCTCTTCTCGATTCCAAATGTTCAGCGAATGCCACCCCTCTCCTCCCTTCTCGTTTTCTCCCCTTCTCTTTCTGCACCAAACCAAACCTGTTTTGAAAAACTGTAAGCTGTAAGACTGTAATCTGAATGCTCAAGCTGTCCCAGGAGACCGCTAGCCGGGCACAGGAGAGCTCACTGAAAGCCGCAGTTCTCTGGCTAACAGGCTATCAGGTGTGCCCATGGCCTTCTCTGTGTGCACTTTCTGCATTTCCTGAACACTGAACCATTGTATCTGATTATTGTCTTGGTAGCCAAGCTGCGCACTGCTGTGGCAGCCCCTCGCAGGGCCTTACACTGGGCCGGTTCAAGGTTTCACAGTGATTTCGGTGCTGTAGCAAGGTGCTTTAGTAACCTTGTGTGATCAAGCACTCTTGCCTTCTGCAGGGCCTTGTGACATGTTCCCCCACATTGCCTGTGTTTCCAGTTATGTTGTGCCTAAACAGCCTGTGACCTTTTTTTTTTTGTTGCCCAGATTAATCTCATGGCTGTTCCACAGCAGGTTAATGAAACCTGCCCTGTCCTTCTTAGCCCAGTTTGCTCTCGGGAGACAGATCCCCTTCACAGTTCCCTTTCTGCGCGTCTCCCGCTGTTTCCTGGCCCACCAGTCAGGCTCGCTCTGTGTTGTGCCTGCCACCTGACGTGAGTCTGTTAAAGCTTTCACCGCAGCAGGTGGTCTTGAAATGTTCCAGTGCACCTGGTTTTCCGCCGCGGTAATACAGGTGCTGGCGTTTGAATCGCATTCCGCCACGCGCGTCCGTGTTTCCTTCCTGTGACGTCACCGCGTCGTGGTGCGCTTTTTTTGGATGACGTCACCATCCAAAGGGGTGACGTTGAGCTTGCTGTTGAGGAGGTCTCATGTTAAGCCTTCCTCCTCGCTGTGGGGCCGACCCAGTACGTCCCGCCTTGTCGGTAACGCCTTTGTCAGGGATATTTAAACAAAAAAAAAACACGTCCCGTGCACCGTCCTGCATCCTCACCCAGGAGAGCCGGATTACATTGAGGTTTTAGGAAAACACGGATTTGAGGCTCTAATGTGGTGTGCAAGGCGGTCTTCTTTCTGTCACCCTATCTGCCTACGATGTTTTACTTATTATTTTATGTCTGGTGTTCGTGGGAAGGAATTTTCAAAGACTTTCACGGGCTGAGAAGTGCAAGGGAAAAAGTGCGTTTTTTCCCCAGTTTTTCTTAGTCAAACCGACAGGAGAACAAAAGGACATTGAAGCGTGTTGGCCGGTGCACACACCACCTCACTTAACCTTACATCGCTCCCTCAAATCCACGCCTGTGCCTTTGGAAGCCACTAGCTGGTGGCACCTGGGCTGGGAGACCTGGATACAACAGCGTTGTCCAGGATTCGTGTTTCTGCTTATTTATATACGCAGGCAAATCCATCCATCCATATTATAGGCGTGGGCACCGGTTATTGCATATTAAATCAAAGGTATCCGAAACATCAAAGAATGGCTTTAATATCTGAAGTACTTATATAAGATATTCATGAACGTAACTCATAGAGGGAATCTATTCACTGGTACGCGAATGAATCCCCCTGGACAGGTATAAGGAGCGGTCGTGTCTTATGTAAGGAGTTCACTTGTGAAGCGGCGCTAAGGCGGCCCCTACTCGTTCCCAGCTTGCGCGGTTTTTTTTTATCCCCACTGCCTTGAGCTGCGTGGAGACCGGCTGCGCTGGAATCCTTCTCGCTCACACGCCCACTCGTGTTACAGGCCGCCCGCACGTAGCTGCTATTTTTGGGCGACTTCTCGCTCCTCTGCGCCTCCGGCACCGGGTCTCTCTCCCCCTCTCTCCCCATCTTTTGAGCTAGGGTCTCCTGCGCGGTACCCCGCAGGTCTTAATACAACCCCAGCGCTCAGTAAAGATTTGTTAAACCCTCAAAGACCTCTCATTCATTCCCCTTCTCCATTAGTTCAGTGCTTATAATCTGCCGTAATTGGGTTCCCTGATGTAATACGTGCACAAAAATGGAAAGCGACACAAAACCCTTTAACAGCGAAACCGGAATTATGCCGAAGTGAATTTAATGGATTATTGGAAGCTATGCTCCTATTGGAGACAATATTTTAAATACAAAAGAGATTATGACACGGCGGAAAGGTTAATTAGGAAATCGTTTAGCCTGGCTGGAGATCTGTCTCTCTTTACCCTGGGCGATCTGTTCTCGGTACTTTAAATGTAATAATAATAATTCCTTACATTTATATAGTGCTTTTTCTGGACACTCCACTCAAAGCGCTTTCCAGGTAATGGGGATCCCCTCCACCACCACCACCAGTGTGCAGCCCCACCTGGATGATGCGACGGCAGCCAGTAGTAATCGGATGTGTTGGTTTACCATTTTTAAACCATAAATATTGGGGGTAATAGTGTGGTGAATATACGATCAGCGCGGTATTGCCGACTCTTGTTTGTGTTGGCAGATTTAGTCATGGAAAGGGGAATTATATTCACGTTATGTGTACTACGGCCACGCAGTTCAGCACAGTGCCCCCGGACGCGCTGAGTTAGGCAGGTCTGTGCGCGATCGATGCTGGGTCAGGTGCGGATGATCCGCGGTCGACTCGATGACATCGCCGAGCCCCCCCCCCTCCGTCACGACCGGATCGCAGCTCTCCCGGGCGGGGAGTCCGGACTGCGTTGCTAGGAGGGGAGGCGCTTCGGCACCGCCGTCACGCGGTCCGCGCTCCGAGCGCTCAGTCCGCACGCACGGTCGCCGGCTCTGCGCTGCTCGGCTCGGCTCCTCCGCCTCTCTCCGGCTCCTGCGCTGCCCGCTGCCTTTTCCTTTAAAAACAAACACTCAGCTGTCGGGGCTTTACTTTGCGAAGCTTCTGTACGACGTCGGCTGCCTGGTTAGTTTTTAAGCTCTTTTTTCCACCCCCGCTCTCGGCTGTTAATAACCCTCGCACATACTTTTCCCCCGGCGGGTTGAGTCGTTTTATACTGTTCGAGAGCGGCGCCGGTGTCCAGTCGAGCCCCGAAGTGTGTGAATTGTGTTGTGTCACCGGCGGCTCGTTAGCGACGGGGCTTGGAGCAGCGGACCGCTGCCCTGGGAGGTAAGTGAGCGAGCCGCGGCGCGTCCGCCGAGCCCCCCGCCGTCGCGGATGGTGGCGAGCCGCCGCCGCCGTCGCCGCCGCCTGAGACCTTGCCCCGCGATTTCCACCGCGACCCTGTGCGATGCCGGAAGTTGCCGTGGCAGAAGTTGTGCGTTTTGCGGTTGCGGGGAGTTCCTGCGGTGTGACGAGAAGCGGAATTAAAAATCCCGTGGCCCCGGCTCGCACCTGTTAGTGCGCTGCGTGGTGCGCGGCCGGGCGGACGCTTGGGAAAGCGCTTTGAGATAGCGGTGTTCGACAGAAATGACTCTTTATATACATGAACCTAACCATTTGGTAATTGAGCATCTAGGAATTAACCGGAGTTATTTCGAGCGTCAGTAAGCTCTAGATGGAGCTAACTTATTGTTCGCTGTAATGCAATTATAAACCTCCTATCTCTGATGGCATAACAGGTGGCAGAGCAATTACCGCTGTTTGACTGCTTGTGTACGTTATTATACGCTTGTGTACGTTATATATAAATATTGCCTCGGGCACTTGCGTATATAACCTGCTGCGTTCTTTGTGCTTCAGTCTGTTAACTTGGAATAAGATCTTAGGTTTATTCATTTTCGTGCTGTGAATTCGCCTCGGCTGAATATTCCTGCTCTTGGGGGACCCGGCGCCGGGTGATGTGGTGCGCTTCTGTTAAGCTGGGGTTGCCCGTGGCCGGGTCATAAAGTAAGTTCAGAAACGGGTCTGAAGAACAAGTAAGGCGCAGATGAATACCATCTGCGACGCTGGGGCGCTACAGCGTGCAAAAACACATTCGTACGTCTGCAGGTTTGTTCCCGAAGCGCAATGCTCAGACACACACACACACACACAAGGGAGACACAGTTCAGCTTTCTTTCGTGACTGGCATGTGAAACGTCCGTGTCCTCGGCCCCGTTCCTCCTCGCACGGAGACGTCAGAGCTGCGCGGTGAGTAAATTGTGGGTTGGGGTGCTGTTGGGGAAGTGTGGGCGCCAGATGACGGCCCGATGCCTTGCGCCTGCCGCGATCCGGCCCTGTTGCGCTCTGCAATCTCTTTCAAATTGCCGCCTAGCTGGTGGGGAAAAAAAAGGCCGATAAGACCTTGATTTCAAAGGTTTCCTCGAATCAGAAGTAGTCCACAGCTGCCTGGAGGACACCGGACGCTCGGCTTCTTGAGGCTACTGGAAGATTCCGAGTGCATGAGGCGGCAGCAACAGCTTGAGGAGCTAATCGCCAAAATTGCAATTTAAAAAGCAGCATTTTGTCACTTTTATCGGCTTTTGCCTGCAGTGTTGATTTTAAAAAATAAGTGTTTGCATCCCGCAATTATTGCTTAAGTCTGTCAGTGCCAGGTATATCGTTTCTGTTGTTGTGAAGTCCTCTGATGTTGGATGTAAAGAGAATCGGGCAGCTGGTAGCTGCTTGTTATTGGTGAAGAGACTGTGTTAGGTCCGTCAGCCTGATTTCTCGTGCATGAATTGTGCAAAGTGATTCCCCTCTCCACATCACACTGAAGGTGGGCTGAACGTGAGCTGTGTGTAGTGAAGGGGGTCTCTGGGGGCCTGGTATATTTCTCTGACACACATTTGCGTCTCAATTGCTCTGTGTCCTCTGAGGCCGTGTCCCCCAGTTGCAGGACTGGCTGGGGAGGAGGTTTCAGGGTTTAGGGGACCCCTCTGCAGGCAGAGACCCGCACTGTTCAGCTGCACCCCTTTGTCTCGAGAGACTAGCGTCCAGCCTAGTCTTTTAGCCAGCAGCCAAATCACTCTGCATCTCACAACTGGCAGCCCCACTGGAGCTCAGCAGGTGTGAGCCTGGTCAGTACCTGGATGGGAGACTCCTGGGAGAAACTAAGGTTGCTGCTGGAAGAGGTGTTAGTGGGGCCAGCAGGGGGCGCTCACCCTGTGGTGTGTGTGGGTCCTAATGCCCCAGTATAGTGACAGGGGACACTATACTGTAAAAAGGCGCAGTCCTTCAGATGAGACGTAAAACCGAGGTCCTGACTCTCTGTGGTCATTAAAAATCCCAGGGTGAAAAAGAGTAGAGGTGTTACCCCGGCGTCCTGGCTAAATTTCCCATTGGCCCTTACCAATCATGGCCTCCTAATAATCCCCCTCTCTGAACTGGCTTCATCACTCTGCTCTCCTCCCCACTGAGAGCTGGTGTGTGGGTAGTGTACTGGTGTATCATCCAGGTGGGGCTGCACACTGGTGGTGGTGGAGGGGATCCCCATTACCTGTAAAGCGCTTTGAGTGGAGTGTCCAGAAAAGCGCTATATAAGTGTAAGGAATTATTATTATTATTATTATTATTTTATTATTATTATTAGTCTACACAGACTTGCTCCACATCCCTGGGGCCACAAGTCTGTGCATCCGGCAAAATACAGGCAAGAAGCAGGGACATTTCCATTGGTTTTCAGGAAGTGCAAACATATTTTGGCGTGGAGTTTCAGATGAATTATTTACCGAATAGATCAACAGGGCTCAGCCTTCTGCGTAGTTCCAGAACTATATGACCTGGGGCTCCATCACTGGGGATTCTATCAACACGCCAGCGCTGGCTGGCTCGGACAGGCTTTGTAGTCCGAGCCTGTTCACTTGGTTTCAAGCAGCGCCTGGGTGAGGGATCAAGCATTGCGCCGCTCCCTCTAACAAAAGAGCCTCGTGTGGAGGCGAATTCAATTCTGCTGTCTGCAGCCTGCAGTTTAGTTTTTCAGTAACGTAATGTCGTTTGTGCCAGCGGGAGGACAGCGGGTGCCGAGACTTACCCGTCGTGGTGATCGCGCTCTCAGGAGAGGTTTCAGAAAGGAGAAATAATGGATCTGATTTTTCGATCGTTCGTATCGGCCAGCAGTGTGAGGAGGGCAACCTGCAGAGTCGGCCAACAAGCAGGATAACACTGGCTGCGGACTGGGAAGGGGATACCACCTCAGAGCAGGTTGTTGAGTTTGTGAAGGATCCATTCTGATGTTATGTTCTTAGAGCAGATGTGTGCACAAACTGTAACTGCCAGCTCTTTAGCTTCAGAAAGTGCAAATTCAGACTCGCAGCCCCTGATCAGCCCTGGAGAGACCCCTCCCACCTCTTTGTCTTGAGGAGGAGTTTGTCTATAGATCTTCTGCAGCACATTGTGTAGCTGCGTGCGTTCCGGAACCCGTCCTCTGTGATTAATCTGCGTCTGATTCTCGGCTGTGTCTCTTAGTGGGTTTTGCCCCCGGTGATGCGTTGATTGAAAACCGATGAGCCCCTCCAGCAGGCGAGGCGGGGGGGTGGACCGGGGGGGCCAGGTCATTGCTGGCTAGCTTAGTCTGCTCTTGCATGTGTTCCTCGTCCCATCTCTGGGCCTGTCCTCTCCTTTGTTTATTCTGTAAGGAGCAGAAGAAATTTGTTCCATGAAGCTAGTTTTCTGGAAAACCTGGGGGCTGATTGCCAGTAAATAGTCTCCAGAAAGTATGCCTTGTGCAACCAGGCTGCAACTGGGGAAAAAACAAGCCAATTTTTTTCAGACGCGAAAAAAGCAAATAGGCTGCTTGGGCTGTTGCTTCTGTCCGACCAGGATTAAGATATCCAAACACACCTTAGCTGACCTGAGACGGTAATGTCTGTCTGCACTACGCAACGATGATCAAAAGCCTTGTCAGTCAGTCAGGGATGTTTTCATCCTGTGGGCATCTGGGAGTGTTATTGTACAGGCATCAGCCAGACAAGAAGTGTATTCCAGTACCAGCAGTGACGTGAGAGCTAATAGGGTCAAAATGTGTTCTTAAAGGGTTTTTCAAAAATAAGAGCAGCTGCTGGTGATACACCAACATTGAGAACTGTTCTCGGAGCAGTTAGTGAAGAAGAACTGTTTGCTGAATGGCCTCCTCCTGTTTTCAGGAGCCTCGTGTTCTTGTGTGCTCGGGTTTCCTTTCCTTTGCTGTGCCAGCAGGAGCAGAGCATGTTCTGTACCAAAGTGAGCTGATCTCTTTTGTGGTACTTCCTGTGAGGTTGGGGATGCATTTCCTCTATTGTCACTAAGACAGGATGGGCTCCCACAGAAGTAAATAAATTCCTTACACTTATACAGCGCTTTTCTGGACACTCCACTCAAAGAGCTTTACAGGTAATGGGGATCCCCTCCACCACCACCAGCGTGCAGCCCCACTACTCTCTTTCCTACTCTTTCCTCCTGGATCCTGAAAGAAAGGGCTGTCTCTCCTGGAACACGTTTAGATTCAAGCAACATACTGGCAATTGGCTCTGGAATGCTGCATGCACAAAGCTCCCAGGTTTTGTGTTTAGTACCAGATTGGGGAGTTTTCTGTATTAGTTTGCATGTTCTTCACTTCTATTTTGCTTGTCTCCAGGTCCAGCCTGTTTTTGTAAACTATATTCCAGTCACATAGAGGCTAGGTTAGCAAATTAGAGAATCTGTCTGTTTTAATAGATCCACCCTTACCATATCCCATGCTGCTGGGTGTGTGTGCCTTATGACAGTCTGGTGTCCCGTCCAGAGTCTAAGATAATATCTCACACTCTGGGGTGCCTCCACCCTCAGCAGTTATAAGAAGCTTTCTGCTTGGCATTGCTTTCTACAGCTGTGGCCACGTCGGTCCTGTTGGGGATTTTCGAGTTGAGTCCAGTTCTCTGTTGCTGTGCATTCTGAACTTGGTGGTGGGGGGGGGCAGTTTTTGGGCTCATGTGATCAATCATCTCTGCACCCATGTGCAGTGGGAACCAGAGCTCAGGGCGTGTTGAGATTGAGACGTTCCAGCTGTCACTGGAGGCTACAGTTTTCTGCTGGCGCGTGGGGAAAGCCATCCCTGAAGAGTCTCACCCGTGGGGAGGAAACCTCTGGGGCGCCTTGCTATGCCAGTGCTGACAGGCTCAGGGTCACACGCTGAGCGACGGGCTGGGTTGTTTATTGGGCGGCACACACGCTGGGGCCCACTGTGAGAGTAGGTGTCTCTTGTGCAGTGGGTTATTCTGTCTCCACAGACAAGTGCGACCTTTAGGCAGGACTGCTCAACTCGTGTTGCTTCCAATCTGTTCCATTCCATTCCAGGATCCTGCGACAGCCAGCTCCTAAATCGTTGAACTGTCAGTCAGTGTTGAACTGTCAGTCGGCACAACCGAGAGAGCAGTCACAGAACTGGTTGCCTCCAAGTTCTGAAATGGAGCATCTAAGGAGGGTGACATACTTTCCCGGCGTAGGAGTTTGAGGAATTTAGGAATTTGTTCCTGCTTTAGGAAGGGGTTTTTGGCCGATGGTCTTGTTGTTGTTGTTACTCCCTTGGGCTCTATTGGTTTCTCCGGCAAAAGGTTTGTTTTTTAACACCAGCCCAGTAAAATCGATCGGCCTTTGTGCGAGAGGAAGAGGAGTTGTTCTCAGTCTCGGGTCATTCTGCTCGCACACGGTAGAGCTCTGTGAATCAGCTAAGTGCCGGGCTCTCCGAGTGGCAGCTGGACATCAGTGCTTCAGAGCATGTGTGTGTTTTGTCCCCTTTTTTTATTCTCTCACCTTCTCCAGTAAAACAAGGAGAAATAAAGTAAGATTGAAAGAAATGATAGGTGCTTTATCTGGCCAAGCAGCCCATCTCCCTTATTCACACCCCAGGACAAGGACACCAGGCAGGGAGCCATATAGCCTGGGAGTAGCAGTGGAGGCCTGGAGCTCTTCCACAAAGATGCAGCTTTCACACTCTCAAGCAGACTTTCAGCCCTGAGCTCATTTTAACAGCGATAAGGATTTTATTTTTATTCAAAGCTTCATAACATCTGTGGGTAGCGTTAGATTGATGTTGGCTCTAAACGTACGTCAGCAGGAAGACAAATCCTTTTATGGTCTTCAGTATATTCCAAGGTATTCTGGAGCGATCTTTAGTTCTGTGATAAGCTAAAGGATTTATATAAGTATGCGTTTGTATCTGTGCACACCTCGATGGGTTTTTAGTCTGAAATGATCTTATGTCTATGCTCATGTGAGCTACATTTCAGTCTATGCTCTTTCCTGGTGCTGTGGGACATCTGGATCTGTATCGGCCTGCTGTATCTTCGGCAGCTGTTACATTTCTGGATTTCATTTCTTCAGCCTTTGTGAAATGAATGCGTGATGCCAGGCCTGAGCTCTGTGAGGGACACTGCTGGACACTCTTTGTCCTGGCCAGTGTCCTTCTGGGAGTCCGCAGTGCCAGGGATCTGGGGACACAGCTGCTTCTGGGGCACAGAGCCGATCTGATTCGCTTATTGAAGCCTGTTAGGGAGGCTGGGTGAGAATGCTGGGTGAGAATGCTGGGTGGGGTGGGGGGGGGCTGGTGGATTGTCACCCCCCCCCCCCCCCGGCACTGCTCTGCTCCATCCATGCTTGAGCTGCAGCAGGCAGATTCCCAACCAGCGCCTCTCTGCTGCCCGGGAAGAGGCCTGAAGCCGAAAATAACCCAGCAGAACCTGGACAGTTTGCTTGCTGTCATCTTGTTGGGCTTGTCAGGAGGTTTTCCAGTGTTAGACCAGTGTGATGCCAGTAGGGGTTTGAGCTTGAGCAGTGATCTGCTGGAATGGTCCTCTGAGCTACATGGCGCAGTGCCATGTGATCACATGGATAAACAGAGCTGAGGGAGACCGAGCGGCGCTTTCTAGCGTGTTTTCCCTAAAGACGCATGTTCAGATCTCGGGTGCCATTGTGATGTTTCACTTCTAGCCTGAGCTGCTTTTCAGCAGGAGTGTGTCCGGAGATAAAGAGCTTTATAAAGAGAAGATGTATAAAGATGTAGGCATGGCGAGACAGGGCATCAGGTTCCCATAAGAATCGCTTTCTGGTCTGATCCTATGGTCCTCACACATGGCAAAGATAACCACCCCTGTTCCACACTGGTGCTCGAGAAAAACATCATACCAGATGGATCCCGGTTTCTTTTGTCACCTCGCTCCCGATCAGCGCTGGGCTGTAAAGTGCAGATGAAAGTCAGCTTTCATGTGGAAATCTTTTTCTTTTTTAAGGAGAGCTTGTTTGTTCAGTGAAGGGGAAAAAAAATTAGCTTCAGAATGACAGTCGCAATAACAATTATGATTATAATAATAAATGTGCAGAACAGGCAGGATAGCAACAAGTCCGTTCCCTCACAGCAGGATTTCCAGTATCAGACAAGAGGAAAGCACTCAGTCTGTAGGAGGAGATACTCGAATGTCTGCCCATCCACACTCCCTGCTTTAGCATGCCCAGTCCCGCAGAGAGGGACAGTTGTGTGAGACGGGGGGGTGTCCACTGTCCCTCTGTTCCCAGCCCCTCCAGCTGATGGATGTTCCTGGCGGACAGCCTGCAAGTGCAGATGTGTTGAGGAGGAGCTGGGCTCCCATCTGAAGAGTTTTTCTAAGAGCAGGAACTGGCCAGCGGGAAGCGTGGTGTTGATTCTGCATGGGCTAGCCTGCCTGCAGTGTCAGTCATAAAGAGCAGTTGCACTTGCGCTAGAACAATACAGGTAACAGTATAGAAACAGCTATGGACTGATATGTTCTTCTGTATTTAATTTGTTTTGCCATTGCTGTATAGCAGGTTTTGCATATGATGAAGATCTGAAGCTTCATTTGTTGGATGTCTTGTGTTTTTTATGGTAAATAATCAGGTGTGTGTTAGTTGTGCATGGTATAGAATTGTGTATTGAAGGCATTTCTTTTGTCAGAGTGTTTCTGCTTCGGTGCAGTTTTATGCTATGGAAAACCACTGGATAATATCAGGCTGTGCTATGGCTTTTGGGAGGTACGCATGCTGTCTGAAAGCTCACTTCTATACCTAGTGATTCTATTTAATGAGTTTGTGTATACCTGTCTCTATTGATTTTGCCCTTGTGTTGTTTTATTGACACATACCTTGAGTTGATGGTTCATGGAAAAAAATGTAAATGAAAGATGATTAATATTCTTGAACTAAATCTGGACTCTGGGCTTTAAGAACCCATGTTCAGATAGGTAGCCATTTATAGTCAAATCTTTCACAGAGAAAGGTGTCGTCTTTGAGGCTCGGAGGAGGCAGTGCATTTGGGTTCACTTGATGTCCAGCTGTGTTTACAATAAACTCCCTTTTGTTTCCAACAAAAATCTGCCAAGTTTCCAGATGAGTGCAGAGAGATTTTAAAAGCACGGAGATGCTCCTTGGTTGTCGTGTAACACACCGCAGGGGCTGCACATGTCCCGAGAATCGGACAGTCCTCCAGTAGCCCAGCAGCCCCTAGTCCTCTCCCAGGCCGGTCCTGATCAGTCACCCGGCAGATTCTGGTCCTTCATCACCCCGGACAGCTCCAGCCTGTGCCGAATCCTTGTATTCTCCGAAAAAAGCAATGCTGTGGCGTTGCAGGAAAATCCTGGAGTCTAATCTCTCCCTAGGACTCGCCCAGCTCTTTTCAGTCCAGTGGTCTTCAGCCTGCCTGCGTATTTACACACAGCCATTTGAGTACAAACTCAATATTTATAAGCCTTCTAGCTGATGTGAGGCTACAGTGTAAATAGCAGCAGAGTGGAAAAAGCTAGCAGGCATGGTGCTAGCTACAGACTGCAGTGCAGGACTCGGAGAAAAGGAGAATTCTGTCATACTTCAGTGGAGGACTGTTTTATAAATGGTCAGAAAAAGTGTTCTTTCTGTCACCTTTTTAACAGGTGTTTATTGACTGGATGTTCCTGAAGTAGGCCTTTACCTAGTCTTTCCCTTTCTATAGCACAGCACACAAACAGGTTTCCCTTCCAGAACAGTACTGCTTGCTGTACCAGTTTCCCGGTCTCCTCTATCAGTGTGTCCTCAGCTTGAGCGCATGAGCAACAGCTCCACCAGGGCTGAATTTAATTACTGCTTTTATGGTGGTATTATTGGGAAAAAATTAAAGTTCAGCAGTGTGTCTCTATTGGTGTTTTCAACCCCACCTCAGTGGTGTGTCTGTTGTCCCTTCCTGGAACGCTGCTCGGCTGTAGGACACCAGCACAGAGCAATTTCGAGCAGCTGTTGTCAGCGATGACCTCTGTGCCACACTGCCCTCCATTATATTAATACTGTCAGGCTTTAAATAAACACCGCTTCCTCTAGCACAGCCAGTGGCTTTTTCTATCAATATAGACACAGCGGGTTAAAAGAAATGTGCCACAGTAACACAGTTGCTGGACAGACAGTTGGACAGAGTTGTAAGACACGACACACAAGATTTTAAAAACAAACTGTAGAAGGAGCGCCCTGTGGCTGTATAGTATTGGCAGCTGTGACCACAGAATCCTGGGATTGAGCGGAAGATCTTGTTTTCCCTTGAGCCTCCTCATGTTTTGTAGAAAATTATACATTCCTGTTTTGTGCAGACGAACAGCAGGAATTACTGTAGGGTGGTTTATCCAGCGAACTCTGGACGCAGACCGAGCGTTTATGGCAGTATAAGCAGCCGTTGTCTGTCTACCTGGTTTTTCAGATCCTCCGAGATGGCTCTCCAGGATTTTCGTTGCAGTTCCGAAATCCGATTTCCTAGCGATCAACCGGCCAGCTGCTAAATTGGTCCGTCTGGAAGACTGAAAGCTGACCTTTCTGTCATGTCTTGTCTCTGCAGGTGGTTCTGCGGGCGCGCCGGATTGTGACGCCAGGTGGACCATGGCTGTTGTGTTCTGAAGGGCGACTCCCACCCCCCCCGCCTCGTCCCCTCCACAGTCTCCACCAGTCTCCTTCTCTCTCTCCGTCTCCTCTCCCTCTTTCTCGATGAGTTCCCGAAGTCAGGCCTTCTTCCACCACCACCACCACCACCACCACCGCAGCTCGGTGGTGCCCACCGCCGTGCCCAGGCTGGTGCCCGAGTCGGGGGTGCTGGGCGGCATCGCCCAGATCACGCCCTCCCTCTTCCTGAGCCGGGGCAACGTGGCCTCCAACCGCAGCCTGCTGCTGTCCAAGGGCATCACCTGCGTGGTCAATGCCACCATCGAGCTGCCCAACTTCAACTGGCCCCACGTGGAGTACGTCAAGGTGCCCCTGGCGGACATGCCCCACTCGCCCATCTCCCTGTACTTCGACAGCGTGGCCGACAAGATCCACAGCGTGGGCCGGAAGCGCGGGGCCGTGCTGGTGCACTGCGCGGCCGGCGTGAGCCGCTCGGCCTCCCTGTGCCTGGCCTACCTCATGAAATACCACCGCGTCTCGCTGGCCGAGGCCCACGCCTGGGTGAAGGCCCGCCGGCCGGTCATCCGCCCCAACGCCGGCTTCTGGCGGCAGCTGATCGAGTACGAGCGGAAGCTCTTCGGCAGGAACTCCGTCAAAATGGTGCAGACGCCCTACGGGGTCATCCCGGACGTCTACGAAAGGGACCGCAGGAACCTGGCCCCCTACTGGGGCATCTAGAGGGAGGGTCGCCGCTGCAAGGAGAGGAAAGCCAAGGTGGGGGAGGGGTGGAGGGCAAGGGAGGGCTCGTCTTCATCTCGTCGTCTTTCCACCCCCCCCAGTCCCCCGTCCCTGCACCCCCAGACCCGGTGGAGCTGGCGTTCGTCGGCTCCCGTCTCAGATTGTGTCCTCGAGTGCCCGTCCGTTGAGGTCTAGTAGATTAATCCTGGATCGTTGCCTGGGGAGGAAGCAGAACTGCCCTTGCAGAGCGCCAAGTTGTTCCTGCTGCTGTACTGTAACGTACCGTGATTCTGTCCATCTGTCTGTCTCCTAACGCGTGCTTGGATTTGGAGCAATGGATTTCAAGACTTGTCAGTCCTGCCATCCAGCAATATCCCAGTGGGTTGGCGACAAAGATGTGCTTTGCTGAAAGCAGAGGCTGGATTATGAGGTCTTGAGTAGCACCTTCATGCTGCACATGGCTGAAGGAGTGTGTGTTCTCAGCAGGTCTTAAGACTTAAGACTTCCTGGACTTAATGCGAGTCACATTACAGTTGAAGCTGCATCTGTATTGACGTGACACAAGTCTACATTGCATTTTCAGCGTCAAAGCGAGAGAGAATAGCTGTTGTGCTTTTAAAGAACGACCTGCTCAGCGGTTAAAAGCAATCTACCATCAAATCCCTGGTAGCATTTCACAAAACTAGTAATGTACAGAAACTGGACACATGGACACATTATCCTCTTGGAAGAGCTGTAATTTTAAACTAAAACAAAAAGAACTAGACATGTAACTGGTGTAATCTTATAGATTCTGCTTTGTAAGTGTGTGTAACGTTAGTGTTTAAAAGAAACTAATCTGCTGCTATGGATGGTGGCGATTTTGTGCAGCTCGAGGCTAGGTGCTGTTGGTCAGAAGTAAAACTGTGGACGTGATCTCCTCCCCCTTCCCCACAACTACAGAGAGACTGTCATTTTGCTGTTTGCTCTTCGGAAGTCGTTCCCAGGACTGACTTTTTTTGAAGTTTTTGAAGTCCGACAAGAACAGGAGGATGCAGAAACCTACCCTTGGCCCAAAACCACCATCCACCAAGCTGCTCTAGAACTGGGGGTTCAGCAAGTTATACAAGCAAAGGTGAGCTTGTGAAACTGACCTGCTAAAAAACACCCAGTGAAATACTGAAGAATATACAGATAAGGGGTGTAAGATGTAACAGCATTGAGATTTTTTGTGGGCAGTTCCACTGATCTAAGGGATGGACTCCAAAAACGAGCACTGTGTGTCTGTTTCTTGCTCTTGTACCTTGATGTTGAACACGATTAAGCAGAATATGATTTTCTGGAAAGTTAATGGCCTGGCCTGGTTGGAGGTATCCATTTGACAGAGTTACACCAGGATGAGTTGCACAAAAGCCGAGATGGTGGGCAAGGTGTGGCCTGGAGGGCTTTTTTAGCGATGGTTTTTAATGTTTTGGAGATGACCTGTGCTATCCTGTGTCTAGTGCAAACGTGATACATCAGATGTTTGCATTTGAAGGAGAAACCTGAACACATTGAATATTTCCCTGTAGCGGGACAGCCTTACTCTAAATAGCAAGAGAAGACTGGTGCACAAACAGGGTGGAAATGAATACTGTACCGAGAGTGTGCGTGCGTATGTCAGCTGTTGGTGTGAGGACTTCTTGAATAAAACTAAACACTGAGAACCTGAAAATTATTTATTGATTTATCTAACAACTCCTACCCCACCCCTTTATTTTAATGGGTCGTAGGAATAAAATAACATTTGATTTGCGATGTAGAAAGTGTGTTGTGCTACAGCCTTCTGGGCAGGTGACTTTGGAGTCTCTGTGGCTATATAGACGTGATGGCACAGCAGGTTAGGACGAAAGGCTGTTAAGCAGCCATCTTCTGATGCCACCCAGAGATTGCATGACCTCTGGTGCTCTGTATGTATGTGTATTCTAACAATAATGGGTTAGAGGACCGCAGGTTAGGAAGGTTGTGTTAGACAGCTGTACTGCATCGCAGTGGTCTTTGCTGCTCCTCGCCCCAGAGGCTGCACGAAGCATCTCTGGCGATTATCGAGTGTGGAGGATTTCTGCACCACCTGTGGGACAGCAAGAGGCAAGGGTCTGGACCTCCTCGTCGTGATGGTGCACAAGAGGGGACGGGACATCTGTGTTGGCACCAGTGAGGACACGGAGGTCTCCCGGGTCCCCGCTCTGCTCTTGCAGGTACTTTTGAGTTTTCCTACTTCAAGGAGCACTTGAGGATAGGACCTGATGTGTTTCCTGCTCCTGGTCGCAGATAACCTAGTGTTGCTAAACTTCACCACTTCCTCGGCGCACAGCAGCAATAGGGGAGCATAATAAAGTCCAAATTGCTAGTAAGAGTTCCTTTATAATGCAGTACCTGTCAACTCTGGCTGTTTTGCAGCAGTTAGGGAGAGAGCAGCCAGCACTTCCCAGTAGCAGAGCTCCAATTCTGATGGCCCTGTTATTACAACTTCTTTAAGGGTCACAGAGCGCAAGAACGATGGCGGGGGGGGGCGGTGATTAACTCTCTTGGGCTGCAAGAGGTGAGGCTGAAAAAGATTTTAAATTCTAAGACATGTATAGATGTACGCTTGAGTTGCTTGATGTAGAATTTGCTTGTCTTTTTTGCACGGTTTTCCATGTACGTAAAAGGTGGCACCCAGCCCCAGCGGCTCATGGGACAACAGGGTCCTAAGCACACCTGTTTCTATCGGAGTGATAGTGTCTATTGTATTGCGTTGCATAATACAGATTTCACAATGCAATTATTTAAATGGGCAAAAATTTGAATAGCACCCTGTCTAAGGCTTCAGTTATCACTCTGGTCATACAAATGCAGGTTAGAGAAGGGAGCTTTGCTGGTGTTTGAGCAGCAAAGTAAAAAGATTAATTCAATGCTTTTGAATAAGAAAGGTTTCAGTAGGGTGTTTGTTCATGTAATCTAGAACATACAATGCAGCAATAACATGTCTACAATTTCTTACCTCTTTAAGATCCCATTATCCATAGGCCAACACCAGGACACTTTATATGTTAATGATCTTTCATAACCTCTCAAAAAAAGCAACAAAAATTAAATGGTAATCATAAGAATCCATTATGGCTGAGAACGTAATAGTTTGTCTAATGCAATTGCTGATCCGCTGAAGCCGGTAAGTGACTGATAATATTGCTGCATCTCCAGTTGATCTGCTTTCAGAATACATAATGAAGCCAAACTGTTGATCTTTTCTCTTTCAGATTTGAAAGTCTTGAAAGTGAGATCAATGTGATTAATTTGCAGTGACTATATTTTCTCCATCTGTATACAGAAATTTGTAGGAACTGCATTAAATAGGTTGTGCATAGTATAGACTACTATAGAGCACCTGGAGCTTGCATGATGTCATAGCACATGCAGTATCAATTTCTTATATGTGAAAATATGAATCAACAACATACAAGTACCTGCACTCCAAAGTCAGTAGCGAGAGGGAAAGTGTTGCTGTGTTTTTCATGTACAGGCACCACCCTCGCAAAAAAACAAACAAAGAGGCATCTTGGCAATGCATCAGCTTGGAAAAATCATCACACAAACACCATGGGGCAACAGGACATCTTTTTTATTACAGTATTGAATCTTAACCTTTCACAAAGACACCACAAAGTGAGTCGGTATAGATTCACAAAGCGGAGAGGGGGAGATGGGCGATAGTGTAAATTCATACATTCAGTAGGAAGCACTGAAAAGAAAGCAGGAAAGGATAAGGGAAAAAAAAACATGATCAGCATCCCAGGACAGCCATTCCAGTAATGCTTATTTACAGATGGAGGGACAGCGAGGGAGCGGCGCACTGTTGGGGCAGGCAGACAGTCCTGTGGAGCCGGATTATAGCGCAGACGGGTTCACTCTCCTCGCGGCTCGACTGCAACAGCTCCACACAGCCGCCCACCCCAGGGGGCTAAAGGGGCAAGGACAACTGGGACTCGGGGGGGGGATCTGCCTGTCAGTTCCAACAGGTCGCACGAGCGAACGGGCCCCGGCTGGAGTTCTGGCACCGCGATGGGCTGCCAGTGAAGGCCCGGCCCTTGAACGCTCTTCCCCCCAAGTCTGACACAACAGGGCAGCCCTGGTCTGGGCAGGCCAGTGCCAGAGCAGCACCCCTGGGATTCAAAATGCAAGCTGAATATTCATTCTCAAACGAACAGACCCGTCTGCTCCAGTGCAGACAACACATAGCAAATCAAATCCCAGGCATACGAAGAGACCCCACATCAAACCCAGTTTTCCCAAGACATAGTCATTGCATTTCCAGTTTAGAAAGATTTCCATGACAAAATGCATTTTGTTTGCTTCACTTTAAAAAAAAAAAGTGCTACAGCACTTTGTAAAGAAAATAATTTAATAATTCAAGCTATGGAATGATCATTTTTGGATAAAAAAAAAGAGGATGCCTGATTCTTTCATAACTAGTAGCAGAGGTAGAAGAAACCACTCTGAAAAGTACTTTAATAAAACTCAGTGGCAGCTGTTTAACTTCCAGTGATCTCTGACTGACAGCGCTAATGGTTTTTGACACAAACTGGGGTACACAGATAATGGAAGCACCCACACTTGTAACACTATCACCCTCTCCAAGTAGGGCTTTAATTGTTTCTTGAAATCACTTGGCCCACTCTAGACACGCTAATGCTGTGGTTAAATAAAAGGGCATCAATTAATCTTTAATAAGCAATAACACAGCTGCTTGAGAAAAGGAAAAATATATTTTTTTAATAGAACAGCTAACTCAAGAGAAACACCATTATTTTACAGCTGCCCACAATCAGCCCCATCTGTTGTGTTCTCTGAGGGACTGTAGTCCCGCAATGCAATAAAAAGAGAACAAAGTTATTTTTTAATTTCCCTGATCAAAACCGTTCTTCCTCAGCCCTATTGACAATCATGCAGTTTTCACAGGTAAGAGTTGCCCTGCCACCTGAGGCGTCAGCAGTATTCCTTATCCATTCATGTTCACACTTTAACTTGGAGAATACACACTCAGCATCGTTAAATCCTTTCAGTGAAGCTACCATCCTTTTTCCAGAAGACAACACCATATTCTAAAAATAAAGCAATAAAAGACAACTTGCGTTCACAGCCAGCTCTCCAGAAACAACACTTCACATGCAAATGCAGAGACGGGATGTTTGATGTTTCACGCTGCACAAATTTTCAGTTCCCTGAGAAAGGAGAAAAAGAGCTTCATTTGAAAGTCCTCATTTAGAACTACTCATCATGCTCTAGGATTTCAGCATTTCTGGTGCAGTGCTTATTCATAGCACCTACAAAGATGTCATGGGCTGACGAATTGTGGGGTTGAAGGATTAAAAAAGTGGGAACTCTGGCTTTGGCGAGAGACTGGAAGTACCAACTGTTTTGCTATAATATTAATCTTCAGCACAGCCAGAAACTGCAGCTAGACCACACAGTGCTGAAAGGTGAGCTTTCAGGAGGAGCAATTAGGTGCTGTTTGCCAAAAAGCCCCAAAAAAGAAATACAAGGTCATTCTAAATGCAAGAGTCCCTATGCCACCTGAAAATCACCTGAAAGACTGGCAGAATGACAAGACCACAGATAAGTGAGAGATATTACGTTAAATCAAATGTTATGGAAAGGCCAGAGCTAGTATTTAAATTTATGTTCCACTGCAGTCATAGCAAGCACTTGCTCTCAAAAGTACCAGTACTGTAACTCTGAAAGTTGTCCTTCATAAGACAGATGTAGAATGCACGCACCATGGCAAAACTGTTACTAATGCTGTTCCCTAATATTCTGGCCAAAGAGGACACATTCAGGGAAAGAGCCTAGTTTTCTCATGCTATGACTGATGTCTTGTTGGTTAATGTATACATGTGCACACACACAGAGTCCTAAGGGTACCCCAAGATGCAAATGAGAAGCACAGGAGGTAAATCCTGGTAGATTTGCTGAATCTCATGCGAAATGCAATTAAGGAGGTTAAACTAACTTGAAACTTGACCTGCAAGAATGATCAATCCTCACTCGCAGAAAAAAAAAACCTAAGACGCACTTTGTATGACAATAATCTCGACAGCAAATGAAAAGTACAGTAACCTTGGTAACCATCACCAAGGGCAGCAGAGCCGTTGGCGGTGAATATTAACGCTGATTCAGAGGCACAGCAATCAGTTGCAACATGTGAGAAACCAGTCGTTGGCTACTGGCCACGGAGGTGAGAGGCCTACAGCACAGCAGTCCAACCCTGAGAAAGACGCGACTGCACACAGCGTGTTCAACCTCACCCTGCCAGCAAGACTTTCGCATGGTGTTCATCAGCTAACTGAACTCGACTCTCAGTGCTGCAAGAATAAGCTATGTCAATCAGACATCTTGCTGTACGGAAAAAAGGGAAGCATTTACTTGTCCCGTTTTCCTCAAAATCCAAAAAGTAGCCAAACCAAAATCAACATTTTTTAATGCAGTGGAGGGCTAGGTGCACTGCACAAGAGTGGTGCAATTATTAAAAATGACTTCTCTGAGGGCACAGGGACCCCGTGTTTGTGACGCAGTGCAGCGCAGACTGTGACCCGTCTGGTGCGTCTACCGGAAAGTGCTAATATGAGACACCAGGTTAAAGAAACTCAACTGGTAGGAAATGCCTTCCTCCTCTCTTGCTCCTGACTTTATCACAACCTTTCGGTAGAGAGACTTCCAAAGAAATATTACTACGCCAATGCCTCAGTCTCCTCGAATTCTGCAGCTGCTCGATCAGTCAGCTCAACAAAAATTGTAATGAAAATACATTTACGCAAAAGCAAAATGTTAACAAACAGAAGCAGTGACTCATCTAGGCAGAAGAGCAAAAAAAAAAGTCAAATTAATTCTTCTGATACCCCTTCAAAGAGCAGGGTCATAACCTGTGAGGGAAACAGCCCTGATGTACCCCCCCCCCCACCACTACCAGCACCACTGAGACATTCCACTTTCCCAGAAAAAATATCTACTCTTTCCCTGCACAACATTATTCCTCAGTTAATGGGTAGTAGCTCCTATAATACGGCCATTAATTGTCCCCAATGAGACCGTACTGTCGATGCCTGAATGTCTGCCAATGACCGCCTGAGATTAATGGCTCCCTCTGACACAGGTATGAATCCGACACAAGATGGACCCTCCCTTTCCTGCGTCAGGCCTTCCTCTCGAACACATCCTTATACCAGACACCCCTGTCCCATGAGTACCAGCTGCCATAATCCACAAAGGAGCCTGCAGTGATTGGGATTAGAGCAATCCTCCTACATGCAAAGGAAATCTGGAGCAGGGAGCTTGCCTTTGAAAGTGAAAACTGTTTCTGCACAGGTGCTCCAACACCTAAAGGACTCCATTAGTCAGATACATGTGCATCACTCCCAAGTAGTGTCAGGAGTCTGGCAATTCCAAAAACTTAAACAAAGGGCATGTGACACAGCTTTCAAATGAAAATCAGCTTTTTTACTGAATTGCAGAATGATCTACCAAGGTATCTATGAGAAGCACCAACAGCTGCAGTGTTTTAAAACAATGTTTTAGAAATGCTTACCTTATTTTTTGCATAACAATAATTTGTTCTAAAATTCCTCTTTGCTTTGTTTTTATTTAATTTAAGGATGCTGGTGCATTGCTTGAGTCATAAAAGCTCTGCAGCAATTTATTGCTAAAGGCACTATATTAAACACTGATTGATCGACTAATTAAACAGGATGGAAAGAAACACTGACTTCAGTGATTCGTAATTAAAATTGATGAGCGACTGCAAGAAAGCACCATGACAAACCAGCGTTTGAGAAGGAAGAAGCAGATTCACTTGGCAGGAGAGAAAAGGGATTTGTCACACACTTGTCATGCCTTCAGGTTCTACTGCTAACCAAAGGCAAAACTGTTGTGAATTAAAATAGCAATTTCTACCTCATCAGGCAACTGAAAGGGAGTGACAATAAAATGAGGAACAATCTCCCCACCCCAACATCAATAAGCATGAACCGTTCTTGGTCAAATATTCCGAACTACTCGCAGAAAATTGATTCTGAATAATTGTTTAGAGTTGCACTGGTGGGGGAAGGTTCTGCATCCACAGAAATCTGATCCATTTTTAAACCACGTCCACTCCTAATCACAGCCTCGTGACTTGGATGGGGAAGGCAAGCTCTGGGGAATTTCCACTCGTGTACAAAAATAAGTGAACAAATAATTCTTACAAAGAGCGGCCAGGCTGCTCTCAAGGTCAGCTTACGGCACAAGTCCGAGATCCAACATAAATAAATGAACAGGTCAGGGCAGCCTTAAAAAAAATAAATCAGCTGGGCTGTTTATCTCAGGATATTTCCCATGGGAAGAATGCTGCTTACAGAAATTGGAAGCTGATCTGGGATGCTTAGGAGCGTTTCGCACTGAAAGCTGTCACGCAGCACCTGGAGAATGTCTCAGGCTTGATAACTGCTGCTGGAGTAGTAAAACTACTGTAAAACACCTGCCCAGTGAACCAAACTCTTCAGGGGTTTGAGAAGCAGAAAGCAGCAGAGAATTTCAAGACCTCAGTATTTCTGTTACAGTTTTAATTGTACAGAATATCAGAAAGCCCTACGGACCCCTTTGTGAACTGTGGATTTTGTTTTTGCTGCTTTACCACACCGTCTGGAGCGTTGAATAGGAATACAGACAGCTTCACTGAAAAAATATTAATTTCCGGCAAAAAGACCAGCTTGTCCCGGAGAGCTATTGGAAGGGCTGGACAGGATATTGAAAACCGAAGCATGAAAAGAAACGCTGCAGTTTTGACACAATGGGACACAGTGAAGAACGCGTTCCTCAGGGTTAGATTTCCTCACTGGTGTCTTTAACACAGACAATACCGAGTAGGGGGAGGCAAATTCAACAGGCAGGGGACCAGAGCCCTGGATCTGCAGACGTGATCTCATAATTTCAAAGCTATATATACACACCGTATATATCAGGGTTATATTTTTGGAAGATTAATCAGAATTTACTTTCCGTACAGAAATGAAGTAGGGCGTTGGCAATTCTCTCTTTTCCCACAGAATAAAAGGCTGTTGTGTTCTGTGCGATTTGTTTGAAAAAACACGGAATTTATTTTTGCGAAGATCGAAGTTTGTATCCCCGAGTCATATCCACCCAAGCTGGCCCTCGATCCGACCCCGTCTGCTTGCAGCTGACGTTACTTTCAAGAAGGTCCTCGTGGAGGATGGTTACCGACGGGCCAGTGCACAGGCTCTATCGTGCGCTAGCACCGGCAGCCTGGCACACTGAATTGTGCACTGGCACACTGAATCTAAAAGACTAAAAAAATAAAAGAATGCTACAAATACAAGAACACTGAAATTTAACATGCATGTGAGCTGCTGTCACTACATGATATTAATACCTTTTTTCAGAAATGCTTTTTTTTTTTCCAGAAATGCGGAGAAGTCACCTTCTCTAAACTCCTTCAAATCCAGACTCAAAACCTTCTTCTTCAGAAAAGCCTTTACTTAACTGGTTCCATTCGTCACCCCTCTGCTCTTCTTAATACCACCTTCCACTGTCTCCTCTATTATTGTTGTATTGTTGTAATTATAATTGTGTCCTATCTTGTGAAATCTTCTTATTTATTGTTTTAGTCTTATTTATTGTTATTGTCATCCTGTAAAGCGCTTTGAGAAGCCACCTTTAAAGGCGCTATATAAAATAAAGTATTATTATTATTATATTGCATAACATGGCAAAAAACAGTCTGACCATGTATCCACTTTCACCAAAATGCAAAATAGAAAGAGTTAAACAACCTGTCTGAATTACCCTGTCATAATTGGGAATTGGTTTGTCTCAGAGCACGCTGTTGGACCAGGGGTATTCCTCAGTTAATCTTTTATCTCCCTGTTCTGGTCTCCCCTCTCTTTAGACACAAACCTGTATTCCTATAGGCATGAGGACCCATTGACCACTTTATTGACTATTCCCTACTCTGTTCAAATGTGACATGGAGTGAAAGCAGACCCAAAACGAATAGGTATTGTGAAAACCAGTGGGTAAGTGCTCAAGGGTTCAATTACCTTTTCTTATAAACCAAATGATATATTCTCAGAAATCCTGTCAAGATCCTTCTCACAATCTGCCAAAACGGTTTCGAAGGAATTACAATCCTTGTGAGGACATCAGTAAATTCAGTTCTGACAAACACACACTTTGCTCCAGATCAGAATCTACAATCACTGATAAAGCCTGTTTGTCAGTCCTGCGTAAATTAAATTGATAAGAAAGAGAAGACTTATTCTAATTGAGTCGATAAAAAATGATATCCAAGAGACAAGTTGCAAAATACTGCCAGCAGCCTCCAAAGTATTATGTAAACTCCCACTTAAAAGAAAGAGGAAATCAATTTTGCAGATAGCTGCCAGCACAACAATAAAACAAATGCCTTTGAAATTCCACCTATCTATGTCTAACATAAATATCTTCTGAATAAAGTGTTCCACGTCAAGAACAAACACAAGAGGCTTTGCAACAAAAAACGGCAGCAGGTGTTCTGTGTAATTCTTGTTAAATATTACAGCCTTTTAATATAGAACAGCATCTAAGAATGGTACTTTAATAGGACATTATGCAATTAGTATTATTGTTTTGTACTGTTCAACTGTCAACAGGAAAAAGCAGATTTTTTACACCAAAATATACATTCAATCTCAGCCGTAACCCTGCTGCAAGATGTTCAAGCTAAAACTATGATACCATAATAAAATGACAAAAAAAAAAAATCTATCGAGAGACAGCAGGTCCAGCACACTTCCTCTGGGCACATGGACTACGTAGTTATTTTTGAGTGGGCAGTTTGCCTAAGGGATGAATAAGGATATGCATCTAAATCTTAAGACCTAAGCGAATCTGAATCGGCAACATTAGTTACATTAGTTTTCATTATATACTGTAGTACCTCTTTAAAATAAAAAGCTGCTTCTTGCCAACCCTATGGTAACTTATCCCTTTTAATGGAGAAAAAGGTTTCTCTCTGCTGAACTGTCTTCATAATTCAATGGTATATTATATACTTGTAATTATACAATAATTAGACATTGCAATTATTCAATACACAGGACTCACACAGTTAAGAAATCGTCTCTCACTGAAAGTGTCTTTACACAATTTGTTTTGTAGCAGCTCCTGACCTAATTTACCTACATTGTCATTCTGTCCCTTGTTTTACGCCAAATACATTTGTGCAATACACAGTATTTTCAATAAATAATCATTCGTAACATCTGATCAAAAACTTGTACTTCTGTCAGCGAAAACCAAATGCATAACTAAATGTGCTGTTCATGCTCAGGATTGGTGCGTCCTCTCAGAGCACCACGGTAAGGCCGGTAATAAACACTCTACAAAGCAAATGAAAAAGAGCTATTCTGAGTGCATGACGGGATCCCCAGACTCATAGGCTTAAGTGCGGCTCTGTGCATGGTCAGGCTGAGTGCTTTCTCCATCACTGTTTACCCTCTGTCGGTTGCTATAGCGGCGGCGGCAGCAGCAGGGCCTCAGAGCAAGTCTGGCAGTATGAGGCCTGGCGGTTTGGGCTCCACGCAGTTAATCCAGAAATTGGCACAGCTGGCATGGTACTGGTGACCCCCATACGTAAGCTTAAAGTTGTCCGTTTCCGAGTTGAAAGCCTTCAAGGGGAGAGGAGAAGAGGAAAAACGAAATGAATTTCCAGAATTAAGGTCTTGCATCAAGGCGTAACTCATAAACACAGTGAGAGTGCCAAACTCGGTAATATCTTTTGACCAATACAAGGTGCTTCTTTTATTGTGCCTACAGTACAATGATATACTTTCAGACCCCCCCACAAGACATCCGTTCACAATTTACATTAATAAACCGAGCGCAGACCTGGAGACCCATGGCATATATCTGTTATGAAATGCACAGCAATCGCCCTACATTACTGACACCAAGAGGCTCATCGGTCTGTTTGTGTGTGTGTGTGGAGCTCTCTCTCCCCTGTGAAGACGGGCAAGAGTGAGTCATGCGAGATGAATCATGTCCTCCCACATGCCCGAGCAGGCAGGCGGAGTGAGTCATTGTGAGCAGACCCCTTGCAGTGAGCACCTGTGGGGCCCGGCTGCAGCCAATTGGCTGGAGGAACTGGCCGCACTGGGCAATGGGGGGTATTAGACGAGCTCTCTGCCCCCCGCCCATCTACAATTCAGAATTCCACGGTGATCCAAGCATCTTGCTGCGGTTTTACTTTTCCTGGCGATAGTCACTGTGTTCCGTTTTTTGGGAGATCAAAGACTCTCTGCCTCGGTACTTGCAAACCAGTTGCACAGCTTGGTATAAATATCCATATACTGTACATGAAGGGGTTTACAATAATGCCCCTGAGCTCCGGCACACTGTGAAAACCTCAAAATAAACACTTCTCGTTTTCTCGTAACACTTTAAGCCTCATTGTTCCGATTTATATCCTGTTTCCTGCAGCTCCCAATAGTAACTGAACTCCAGAGTATATGTTTATAAATACACTATGTGCCGAGCCCTGATACAAACATCCACACTAGCCCAGACAGCAGACAGACCTCAGAGAGGTGCTTTGGCTGAGAGCATTTTTGAAGCAGGGATGAGTATTTGAAACATGTCTATTGCATTCAGAAAATATGCAAAGCACAAGTCTAGATATCTTTTTTTTTGTGTAAAACTCAATGAAGACAATAAAGTAGCCCCAGTTCTGTCAGGTTATACTACAGACACATGTGCAGCTCTGCTTCTGTGCCTCTCCTCCACTGCTGCTGTGAAATAATAACATGCCAAGGCCTGCAATTCATGGAGAGAGGAGAATAACGAGGGAAGGCCGTACAAAAGACATGTTCTCTAGTGCACATTTGCTAAAGATGGCAATTTACTCTTCAGACACCTCAGCAGTTTAAATGTCCATCAGCTACAGTTTTTGAAGGCCTCGAACGGAACTTCGGCTAACTGTGAAGGACACTCAATGCTTCCTTTTAAAATAAATGTGGGGCCTGTCAAATGGCTCAACTGGTAAAGCCCTTCGCCTGGGCTCTACAGTTCAAGTGGCACGGGCTGGAGCCTGGGTCATGTTGAGAGGCAACTGGGAATAGGATTCCCCAAAGCAGACTGGATGGATGAGCGGGTAGGGTGGGATTATTCAGACAGCACAGTCCTGGCTGTCCGTGACTCAGGTGAGGGATGCTCCTTCCCCGAGCGCTACATTTTGGGCTGGAGGCTATGCTGCCTGTGATGTTTGAAAAGATGACTGTCTCGAGACAGCAGGGCCGGTTGGAGGAGTCAGCCTGCACTTCTTCATTCTCACCTGGGTGCAGTTGCTGGGCTGGTGAGTGGAGGCATGAAAGACACCTATTTTCACTATACCAAACTGGGAGGGCAAAACAAAAATTATTAGCATTTCTAAATTTCTTTTTAGAAATGTGCAGCTACCCTGAATGTCTTTAGTTATGGCCTCTCTCCCTTCAGGTGAGCTAGCTTTACAAAATAGCAGCGTGCACATCTTACAGGCCCCTCTTCTCTAGACCTCTGTCGGGAAAACGTGCGGGCCAGCACAGCGCCCCCTTATGCAGAGTGTAAGCCACTGCAGATTCCACCCCACTGCTCCTGGCAGTAATAGAGAAAAACTACAGTGTGAAAAACTTAAGAAAGATAAAAAATAAGGCATATTTACCCATAACCTCCTGTCACTGTCTTTTGCTCGTGCCTGCAAGTAGCACAAGAAATGTCAGCATTTCTTTGCAGGAAGCAGGAATCGGCAACCTGTAATTAATGCTCCCACCAGCCCACATGCCCTTTGCCTTCCATTAGCCAGACAGAGAAGGGGATCAGCCCTGATCCTGCAGGAACACTGAGGATACTGGTTTTCACTACACCTAAACAACAATCATCTCCAGTGCTAAATCGGTACCTTAATGCTTCTGCCTGCTTGTTTCCATTTTATTCAACCTGTTTCTTTGGTCAGTCCTGCATGTCAAAAACACCCAAATCCAGGGGCACTGCTTCCAACAGCTTCAGTACGCAGAACTTTGACACAGCTGTGATGCCCAACTAAACAGCTCTTACAAGCCGATCAGTGGATGATCAGGTGGGACACGCCCACAATAAATGTTTGTTCCTTCTGCCCAGGGCAAGCTACTTGCATTTCCCAACACACCTGGGTGAGGGCAGCTCTGAAACTCAGGAACTGGTACAGCGTTGACACTAACTTCAAATCCCACTTGACCTTTTAAGAGCCTGAAAGCAAAAACTGACAAACGTGCCCTAGGTAGAAAATTAAGCCCTGCGATGAAGAACCAGCAAAAAATCCAGGAAACACAGTGTTCCACCGGGACCAGGGCTGGGAACTGCTGGGATAGAGACCAAGAAAGTTCAAGGGGTCCCATGATGTGCATTTCAAAAGACACATTCCATAGGAAAGTGCTTTCATTTGGCCGTTTTTTCCATTTTCGAACGGTAAAATCAACTGGCAGGAAAAGCAAGAGAGAAGGGTAAGAGGTAAGGAATAGACAACACACCCCCCAAGACTCCCAGAGATCACACCCCAGCCGCAGCTTAATCACGCAGCTTCCCAGGAAATAACGCAGTTACCAATCAGTCCTGCAGCCTCTACACTGAAGACCACCACTCTCGGCACCTAGACAGGTGAAGCTACATCCATTGGGCTCTTCATTTTCTGTGTTTATGGTTGACCTCTTTTTAACTTAACGAAAGCCAATTCCATTGTGAGCTAGAAACACCACAGCGCTGCTCATTACGAGGCCAGCTTTCGACTCAACATCACAGCCACCGAGTGTTTTCCCTCATCGATCCCTGAGCAGAGTTTACAAGCGACTCTGATCAATAATCCCACGGGCTATTAAACCCATGTTGCAGTCCTGCAGTTTCACAGCTTCGCCCACAACTTGCCCATGGGGGGGGAGGGGTCAGCCCCAGGTGGACAATTAACACTGAGAGCGAAGAGCCCCACGCACATCGTACTGTTTGCAAACGCAATGGACAACAGTTTAAGATATAAGGCAAATCGTAAGGCAATATAATTAAGCCTATGGCTGCTGGCTTTCTCTTTTAACTGACCAACAAAGGTAAAACACCCCTTCTGCAAACAAATGGCTGTGCATCCCCCAACTCAGGAAAAACACCATACCACACAAGGGTTACTCAGATCACAGTACTTTCCCTACCTGACCTGCATGCTGTGTATATTTAACCCACTCCCAGCAGCTCCACTTAAACTCATCTGACTTATAGCATTTTACCATTTGGTTTGCAGTAACAGCATATACACTATGCACATCTAAACACTAGCTGTGGAAGAAATAAAATGCTTGTATGCTAGAGTTCAATACTGCTGATTCCAAAAGAAACCCTGAAGTGGGCAAACCATGTGCTATGGCATTAGATTTGCTGAACACCCCGTGTGTTCAACTTCAAAATGTAATCACATGTTATAATTAAGTATCTTGGTTTTGAGATATTTATTGAAACAATGTGGGGCCGGTCACAAGTAAAGCTGTAGCTTTGACTACTGAACTATAAACTTTAAAATAAAGCTCTAACAAATGTGAAACTATTGCTTATAAAATTACTGCTCATAAGACAAAGGAGGGGGGTGCAGCTAAGAAAGAGCATCAATACACTTTATGCTGAAGGCCAGAAAGAGATTTTGAGAACTCTGTGAAAACCCTGAAAAACAAGTTTCCTTGAGGAGCACAAATACTGGAAAACGGAAGCGCTAATAATATCCTGCTTCCCAATGCAGTAACGAACATGCGTGTTTCGGTCTGAACTGCAGGTTGGATGACACTGCAACATGCAGAGCCGCACAGCCGCCGTGAACTGTGCCGCGTTCCTGCGCCGACGTGCTGGGGCGTGAGGGTGAAAGGTAAGGGTGAATAGTCTGGCGTACGAGTCCTGGTTTTTGTGATCAGTCCACTAAGCTGCTTCTCCCCCTGTCAGATCCCCCCCATGCAACAGCCGGCACAGAGAGCAGGGAGCACAAAAAGAACAGGTCTGCCTTTCGCACGCTGCCTCTTCCAGTCCTGTCGCCTGGATCGCCCCGGTGACTGCCACAGTCCACCTTGCAAACACACCAGCAAAACACGCTGAGAAGGCATCTGTACTTGTTTTTTTTATTTTCCGGACAGTCACTCATGCCAGTCACTTTGCTTGTCCGGCTCTCCACTCTCAGGGTGGGACCGGGTGTGATCAAAACTTTGACCCAGCTGGCCGAGCGTTTATTTGTGGCTTTACTGTGGCTTAGCCTAGCAACGAGCTGCACGCGATCAGCTCACTCCAACCCTGGGAGACCTTAACCATACAAAGGGGAGTCCCAGTTGCTCTGAAACGAGCACAACAAAGCAACTGAAGCGGAAATTTTCAAAAAACAAAAAAACAAACATAAGCCTTTCATTCATCTGAATGCTGACTTATTTCATTAATCTCCACAGGACTGGCCAAGAACAATCCGTTTGATTGCATCTGCAGCACACAGCTACGAGCTGTCTATCCCTCACGCAGTACTGATAAAAAAGCTGTTGAAAGAGCAGATCTGGTCGTTTTTGTGTTCCACTGCCTTCAGCACTTCCCTTCCACAACCCTCTGCCCCCACCCCGAGATCAGAGCTGTAACAGGATTATTAGACAGGCGTCACCCCTCCATACTTTTTTAAAGAGCCGTCCAACAGTTCTGCCTTCTTTTTTCTGCAAAGCGTCCAAAACCAAAAAAAAAAACGTTAATCTGGGATTTTCTGCCAGGCCAAATCAGTTTCTCATCACAACTGGCAACTGTAATCACTGCGTGTAAGGCAATTACATTTTGAAAGAAATGTGTCTAAGCTAGGGTTATTTTATGTCTGAACATGGTAAACTGCCGCAGTATTTCTTTACTTGTTAATCTAAGAAAAGGAATGAAAAGACTCAATTACTCAAGACATTTGTGAAAACCACGATTTTGAAGGATACACGATAGCTTTCCTTATCCTGTCATTCACCCGGGGTGCAGGAGTGGAGTGTTTATGGACAGGACTATGGCTGCAGGCGCTGGGGTGCTCTCACCTTGCTCCGCGAGTCCACGTTCAGCAGGCACACCCCGCAGGCCAGCTCCTTGGCATTTTTGATGCCGTGCCGCAGGATACAGGAAGAGAAATCCAAGGAGCTCTCATCAGGCTGCCCAAAAAAATAACAAAACGAGAAGCACATGGGGTTTTAAAAGAAATCTTCCAAGCATGTTCCATCTCTTTATAAGTAATCCATTTAAACTCCGAGAGTGAGCCAAAGTCTAACCCAGCAGGCACAGGGGGTGAGGGGAGACACCCTAAATGGGACCCGAGTCCCTGCAACACTTTCTCCTGCAGAAGAAGTTAAAATATTTCTGCAGATCTGAAAATGTACTAAGCTGCTACGCATAGGCCAAAACAAAACTTCTGCCATGTTTCAGAAGGATGAGCCAGGAGTTACCAAAGTAAGTGAGAGGTTACAGCCTGGAGAGAGAAAGGAACAGCGCCACCTCATCTGTGAAGCCTGGCTACCTCTCTGGAACAGTCTCGCTTGTCTTTACTGGTGATGTAAGCTAATGAACGCAGCTTTGGAATTAATTCCAAAATTAAAAAGACACATTTTGTGTAGCACACTATTGTTAGCGTCTGAGTTGGAAAGGGTTATTTCCTCACCTCTTGATTGACAGGAAAAATGTGAACCACGTAGACCTCAGTCTCAGCAGAGACTCGTACCTGCTCTGTGTTACTATACCGCCTGGCCTCCAGCAGCTCTTCTCCCCCACCCTCTGCCCTCCCACCCCAGGGACCTTACCGTCACGTTGGCGAGCGACATGAAGCCCATCAGGTTGTTCCAGACGCGGCTGATGTCCTTGAGGAGCTGCTGCAGCTTCTCGGAGCACACGGCCGTGGCCTTGATCCCCAGCTCCACCCGCCTGGCCACGCGGTACACCTCCACCACGCCTGCAGCGGGAGCCCAGACAGGAGAAAAGCCATCAGGGACTTGGCCGGTTTCTCAGATTAACAGCTCTGGCGCAGAGAGCCTCAACGCGTCACACAAATGCCATGGGCAGAGCTCAGCAGAGGGAAGCGCAGCAGTGTGTGCAGGCCTGACTTCCCTGTCGCGCCTTATTTCCGCTGCTATAGCAATAGTTAACATAATTTCTCATATAGAGCTTTTCTGGACACTCCACTCAAAGCGTTTTACAGGTAATGGGGATCCCCCCCACCTCCACCAGTGTGCAGCCCCACCTGGATGATGCACCAGTACTCTCCCCACACACCAGCTCTCAGTGGGGAGGAGAGCAGAGTGATGAAGCCAGTTCAGAGATGGGGATTATTAGGAGGCCATGACTGGCAAAGGCCAGGGGGAAATTTGGCCAGGACACTGGGGTAACACCCCTAATCTTTTCGAGAAACGCCCTGGGATTTTTAATGACCACATAGAGTCAGGACCTCCGATTTACGTCTCATCCGAAGTAAGTGTCCCGTTACTATACTGGGGCATTAGCACCCACACAAACCACAGGGTGAGCGCCCCCTACTGGCCCCTACTCTTCCAGCAGCTAAGAGGTCTTCCATCCAGGTAAACATAAGACCAGACAGGTTCACAAGCCTCAGCCTCATGTGCTTGGTTACAGATGATGAGATGAATATAAATGTCTGCTCTCAACACAATGCTACTCTGTCTCCGGGCTCTCTCACCAAGCAGGTACTCCATCCCCTGGGCAGACTGGATGACCTCAGTGCAGACCGCCGAGCTGCTGATGCTGTTCAGAGTGTTGTTGGCTTTGTTGATGACCTGCGCACAGAAATCCAGAGGAAGTTGATTCACAAAAGCCAGTCGCCCCAGCTTGTTATGGTGTTATAAATGTACACATTATATGCGTACAGGAATTTGTACAGGGAAAATGTAAAAATGTTCAACTGTGTGAAAAGAAAACGATTACCCCTTCGCCTTGTATTTCAAACACTATTCCTCTACAAAGCAATGTTTTATCTGCTTGTTGTGTGACGGGTACAGTGACGTGCAGATCTCATAGCAAAGCAGGTGTCTGCTTACCTGCAGGGCACTTTCCAAACATCTCTGCCATTCGTAAGCATAGCGTTCACTTTCCTGAAATAAAAACAACCCATAAAGTTAAGAAAGAGAGGTCAGAAGCAAGGGGACTCCCATTGGCCAATTTTTTGCCTAAGGTTTCTTCTAGCAAATGGAACCTCATCCAGATGTGCCCTGAAATATCCCGGCAGACGAACATCAATAAGTTTTAACTGAATTTGTTCAGGAGACACCGCATCAGCAAACCTCAGCTTTTAACATTCAATCTGCAAACAAGGCACAAGGCTGTTAATGAGTTTCAGACCCCGCTAAAGGTTAAGGTTCCTTTTTTTTTTTGCCTTTTCTCTTTCGGCCTTGATAAAATGGACAGCATATAAGAATGTACCATGACACAGAGCACAGGCTTCTGTCTGGGAAGCATCATGAGCATCTTGGGATTAAGACCATCAAAAGGAGCAGCGCCAAAGGGAAAAAGGTAAAAGCCCGCTTTTTCTTCGTTACTCCGAGGTGGCTGGCTGAGAGCCTCGGAGCTGGAGGAATTCCCCCTGCTCCGGCTCGAGGGGAAGCCCCCCCCTCCTCACCTCCACCTCCCCGGTGAGGTCCTTATACTTGTCGCGGATGACCGGCAGGGCAGGCTTCTCGCTCAGCGTGCTGGAGCGATCCCGGAACAGCTGCTCGGGGGCGGGGGACGGGGTGGAGCGCCCGATCTCTTTATCGCCAAGACTGAGGCTCCTCTTGTGTGAGCCTGAGCAAAACGGAGACAGCACAGGCATGGAGGTGACTAGCAGCGCGCTGCGCGGCCATCGGAGGCTGGACCTGAGAGCCCTTGTCTACAAGCCAGCAGCCAGCAGCTGTTGTGTGATTACAGCAAAGGTCCTATCTGCTTAGACAGATTTTTGTGGATTTAAAATAGCAATTACAGTTCTTTTCCACCGTTTAAAATTTTACATATATGTACACCTGCAGTGAAATTATTTCCATTGCCAAGCTGAGTCGATTACAGACAGCACATTTCTTACTGGGGAGACAGAGCAACACAGCCACATGGGACAAAACGGCATCCGAGAAAATCTGATGACTACAGACAGAAAAAAACACTTTATCAGACCGTGTTTTAAGAAAGAATCAGAATTTAGCTTATACCACATTCAGTGGCTAATATAATGTAAGTGAGTAGATCTATGATGACAAAAAGGAGCTGCAGAATTAGATAATTCTAGCACTCAGCTCCTAAGAAACTCTGTTTATCTATCTCTGTCTTGCCAGCAGTCCACAGAGTGCCATCTGCTGTTCTGTACCTGGTAACTTCTAAAGCCGACTCACAAACTCTGTGGAGCCTTGTGTTTGAGGTACAGATGTACGCTGCGCCCACTGACTAAACATTTTGTTAAAAGGTGATTTTAATCTAGCTATCTTCCGAAGATACTCCAAAGTCTTGGTTTAACCTTTGTTTTGAATAGGCTAGGCATTCTATACTATCTTAATTTCACACAAAACTTCTTATTGTTTCTATTGTCAATGTGGAGGTATACAAGGTCTACATAAACAGTAAAGTAAAAGGCCACAGACCAGAGACAGAAGAAAAGCAGATTTTACAGCAAGACAGAAATGAGCACCATGGAGACAGCAACGGAGAGGAATCAGTGTGGTTGTGAAACACAGGCCACTCACCCTGCACGGAGAGGTCAAAGGTTGCCAGTTCACTCTTGATCATCTCCTCACTGGACTTCACCTTGGCCTGGGAGCTGGCCTTGAGGAAGTCAAACTTGCCGAACTTGGGTTTATCTCCCTGGAAGGCACCAAATTCATCGGCAGCTTCTCCAGTCAGGTTCTGCGGTCCATCGGCGCCAGGGTCCACTGGGGCGGGAGGGGAGTCAGCCTTCTCCGAGACGGTGCTGGCAAAATCCCCAAAGTCGTCATCCTCGGGCAGCTGGGGGCCGGACCCAAAGGGCGCAAAGGCCTCGAACTTGTCGTCTCTAGAGACGGCCTCATCCGGGGGGAAGGTGGTGACCTTGGCGACGGTTGTCATGGTGATGTTCTCCGAGCTCCCGAAGGACGTCTCCTTCCTGTGCAGGATGGCGGAGGAAGGCCGGCTGCCACCTTCTGAACTAAACTGCGGCTTCTTCCCCTGACTGGCCGGGGGCTCCTCTCGGTCTGACCAATCATAGCTGGCGAGGCTGCTGACAGTGGAGCCACCCCCGCCGAAGTTTCCGAAGGGGTCGAACTTCAAATCTTCCCCCTCTGCATGAACAAACAAACAAACAGGAGGCTCTCCCAATGAGAATATCATTACTGAAGCTGGACTTGTCAGGTGGAGCTGACAGGACTGGAAAATTACCTACAGCAGTGAGGCAACCTATTCTGAAGCATGACAGGACAGCTTCTTACTGCGGGATTTAATGAATATACCAGCCTTCTTGCAGTGAAGTATGTACGTGTAGACCCCTATTGCATAGACCTACAGCTGCACAGCCCTTAGGTAGGTATACTTACTTGCTCTCATCCTGAGCCTACAAGCTGTTTACTGGAATAAAACCCTGCTTTTGTAAACAGGAAGGTGTGCAGGACAGGCAGCGAGCAAGGGTGTGGGGGCTACGTCACTGAGCCCCGAGTCCCAGCCAAGCCACTGGCACGCAGCTATGCTCCCTGAACCCCCCTTGGAGAGCTGCACTGGCCTTTAGCTTCATTGTGTTCTGAACTGCAGTCATCAAAACCTCTGCTCTGCAAATAAAATTTCAGATTTAGGACAATGCTGTTGCAATGCAGTGCTAGATGCGTGTGGTTTCTTTTCTGTTGCTATTCCACCTTCCCGTCTTCAGGCAACTAAACGCAGAATGCAGCTCGAAGACCACTGTACTTTTAAAGGATGTTTTTCCTGTGCTACCTAAAAGGACAAACGTGAAAGCATTTCGTTTTGAAGCCACAAAGACAACCCAAACCATTGTGGCTACTGCCCCCACGCTTCGCAAACGTGTTGATGGCACTGCGCAGTGACAAATCCTGCTGCCAGTGACCTTCTACCTTGAAAAGCAAACTCCTTGCAGCTGGACCAATGGAGCTGAACTCCAGTAGATTTCCATCTTGTTGATTTTGTGGTCTTTCCCCAATTCATGACACTTCACATGGCCCAATCCAAAATCAATGTCAAAACATTTAAGGAAAACATCCATCTTGTATATTGGTAAAGATCTTTGTGGAAAAATCTGACTGAAAGTGCTTACTGGCAAGGAAGCCATATTTGATAGTGGATTTTGTGCGATTTTTGTGCGAAACTCTTTTGTAAATATGCAACTATGAACATTTTTGTGCTTCGTCCTCTCATGCCCACAACCTGAAGGACATACAAGAACAATGGATGGGTGCGATGTGCTGGCAATGTTGGATTTTGTGTAAAACAAATGTCATCACGATTAACTGTACAAAATGTATGTTAGATTTGTAATTTCTCTACCAATTTTATTCAGTCACTATGGGAGAAAATATGGGCAAAATGAGCCAATCAATTGTATGGTAAACCTATACATAAGGAACATTTCACATACACAAACTGGATGTTTAAGAAACGTCATAGAGCAGTAAAAGCAATTATTCGCCACCAGTGAATGAAGCTAATTGGTCACATGGTTTGGCAACCAAACTGTATTTGACTATTTTCTTTTCCTCCAAATACACTAGACCAATTTACTGAATTATGACCATAGTCAAAGCAGAATCCGTTGTTGTCAATTTTAACCTGATCCGCATAACTACCACGAAACAATGCAAAATGATTACTTTTTAAAAGGTAATGAGTGAAAAAAGGACTACAGGCATTTGTACATCTCCCAAACCTGAACACCCCTTTATAATTCCAACATAAGCAGTGGCTTTAGTTGGAAAATATCCTGTGGGTAGCTCCTTGATAGGAATTGAAGATGCTGTCACATGTTGAGTAATAGAAAACAGGAACAAAAGCCTAAATGAATCAGGTGTTTTGGACAACTGGAAGCCTGTTGTTTGCATTAGTATTTCCAATACAAAGGAAGCTGTGTTGTGTTGCTGGGACTGAGAACCCTGCCTCCTCATCTTCCCTGCCTGGAAACCTCAGCTCCAGGTCTCTGGCTTGCCCTACCTTCCCGAGAGTTGCCGGTGTGCGGCTGACACAGACTCGTGGTTCCACGGTCCTGCCCTGCCTTGTTCACTAAACAGTGCCCTCCAAACCCTCCAATATTTCAAAGGCGACTCTAGAGCGCTACTGGGAATACGGAGGACTGCAAAACAGTAAACAAAAATACTAAAAAAATTAACAAACCTAATGAAAGGTCAGGGCTTGATCTTAACAGTGCTAGAAATCAGGCACTGAGATTTTAATTCATAATTAAGGCAATAAAACAAGGCAGTAATCACTGATTCCTTGTGCATTAAGTGGACTGGGTGTAACACGGAATTAGAAATTGGTTTATTGTGGATAAGCACAATATATTTCAGCTTTAACTGTAATTAAATATTCACCTACCTATTACAGATTCTGAAAAAACTATATTTGCACCTGCAGTATATTACTATATAAGCTTTTAACATATAACCTAAGAGTTTTAATGGGAATTAACTGACACCTAAATAACTAACATGATCTAACGGGGACTATAATTAGAAGAATGAAAATGGCTAAGCTATTTCAATTAATAAAAAATTATCTCTGCACCAATTAGAGGGGCTGTTGACAAGGTGAAAATTGTTTCCCACACAACCGTTTACTCAAAGACCTACTGACAGAGCAGAGGAACAAGGATTAGAAATAACCACCAGTGAATCTGACAGATAATTGACAACTAGTTCGTCTTCAAAGTGGAACTTTTCACATTATCTTTCTTCCCAAACCCCAAGACAGATCTAGTTGTACAAGCAAGTATGGCTGAATCTAAGAGAATTATCTGTGAAATAGCTGAATCTAAATGGCTTTTCCACTTTCCGATTGCACTGAGGAAGAAAACAGCCTGTTCAGCTAGCGCTATACTACGGACTGGAGGATCTTCATGCCTCAGCTGTTTCTGTCACCCTGTGACACAGTATTCCTGGTACTGCACATCAGAACCGCCCACTGGAAGACCAGCCCATTGGGAAGGGCGTTTAATACCAGTGGTCGTTGTGGTCTGTGCAGGTGAGTGGCTTCTTTCCCCCAGTTTCAGCCCCGCTATCCCGCTGATCTCCCCCAACTATAATCCAAATGGCAACCAACTCATCCTGCATTTTAAAACCTCCAATGCTTAGCGTAGCATTAGCAGAATTCACGTTCTGGAAGCTGAGATGACTTAAAAAGGCTGAATAATTTGGAGCATATAAGGGAATAATCTGATCCAAAAGTGAATCCCCAAGACCAGAACTGGGAAAACCTGAGCTGGAAAAATCTTTTTGATCAGTTTCAAAACCCGCCTTCTGGTGACGAATATGTAAATGAAATTCAATTAGTTTTGATTAACACTGATTATCGGTGTTTATATCAACAGACAGCAGTGTTGTTTCGTAGGTCACACACACACACACACACCAATATCTGCTCCCTTCTGCCTGCCCCCTCAGCCCACATCCATCTCACACAGGCAGTGCAGGACCAGCCTCCACACGATATAGACACTTCGGAAACCAGGTTCACCGAGCCAGAAACGGAGAGAGATGTGATTTCTCAACATGCCGGGCAATAAGTAAGACCTCAAGATCCTGCTTCTATCTTCAACTGCAACAACAGGCTGAGTCCCCTCGAGTCGTGCAAAGCGTAGCATAGCCAGAACACAGCAGAAAACTGAATGCGTCAGCATTGTAAATGCAGCAGTACTGGTTCCAGTATACTGTCACAAGCCGAGGGGAAGGAGTCTGTTTGTGTATGATCAAATTAAACTCAGATTATTAGCAATGTGAAGAAAATAATAAACAAGAAAGGAGTTTTGGAGAAAGCTTATTTAACCTGAGAGCATGATTTCAAATTGCTAACTGGCGCCTCAAACTAGCAGCCAAATGCTTCTCAAATAAAAATCCGGCCACTCTGGAAAATCAACTCAGGGTCACTGGAGTAAAGATGTTTGCTGCCACTTACCACAACCACAAGAATTCGACCACTGAAACGGGACTGGTTTACACCCTGGTCATAACAGTGTTATCTGTCTGAAACTCATGTGATCATGCAATCTAATCTGCAAACTCTGATTAGGATGCCGATTAGATAAATGGGAGCTTAATGTAAATTAAAAAAAAAAAAGGAAAAAAAAAACTCCACAAACAAGAAGTGCTAATATCAGTACCAACAAGCGAGGGGGCATTGAGACTTTTGCTGCTTATTTCTCCTCTCTATACCAAGGTTAGCTGACCTGACTCAGTGGGGCATTTTATAATTGCTTGGGACGAGCCGCACGCGCGCGCACACACACACACACACATTTGCACAAACAGGCAATTTGTGAAATTGACAAGGAGGCCCTACAGAAAGCCACTGTGCTTTCGAGACACACCTGTTCTCCATTTCTGATTTGGATTCTCAAGAGGTGAAAGAAGGAAAAAGCAACAGGGCACGAGTTTCTGCTATGCCAAGAAAAATATTTATTACAACAACAAGGAGTAGAGAGAAAGGTCACAAAATAGTGCAAGGAGGATGTCGTTACAAGAGGTTTGCCAGACATTGCTTTCTTCTTTTCCCTTTTTTAATTAAAGTATACAAGAGCATGCAAAGTAAGAAAACAGAGAAATAAAAAGTAGAAACCCAGAAACCAGAAGCTGAATCGAGAAGGCACATTCACATAGAATAAAATTGGCAAATGTTAGAAGACACAAAGTAGTAGCAATAGAGGAAAAAAGCAGTTCAATATCAGAGACTTGAACTATACAGAACACTTACAAAGCCAAGAGAGCAAAAAATGTTGATTACAGGTTTGAAAAGATCAGGTGCTATTAACCCTTTGAGGACTTGAATGCTTTCTTATACACCTACCCATCTTAATTTGTTTTTCAGATGACAATGAGGCTTGTCTATGACATGGAAGGTTGTGTTTGATTAGTAGTCTGGCAGGCAGTTTTTTTAAGTTGCATCAAGCAGCTTTGATTCAGGCTAAAGATAATATCCCCTTCTTGCTTTTGCATAATGGCTATAATAATCTTGGCTAAGAAAAATGATCTCTGATGTCACATTTACTTTAATACTTTTCATTGATATTCTCAATGAACTCTCCAGTTCAGAATGTCGTGTTTAAAACCACTGACTCACATTGTACATA